GTGTGTGTGTGTGTGTGTGTGTGTGTGTTATAGCTGGTTTCTTTCATTTAGCACAATGTTTTCAAGCTTCATCCAAGAGGTGACATGTTCAGTCCTTTCTACAGCTGAATAATATTCTATTTTATGGATATAGCATGTTTTCTTAAACATTACCAATTGAAGGCCACTTTGGGTTGCTGTTACTATCTGGCTATCATAAATTAAGCTGCTGGACCAGTGAGAGAGTTCAGCAAATAAAATGACTTGCTGTATAGAACTGATAGCCTCAATGTAACCCCTGGATCCCACAGTGGATCCCAAAAGTTGTCCTCTTACCTCCATTCACACACACCCATGGCACATACATGTATGTGTATACACACACACACACACACACACACACACACACACACACACACAACTAATAAAAACCTAAAAGTAAATGAATCCACTATGAGTATTTGCCATGTTTTCAGTTTCAATATGGATGTACTTCTAGTTCCATGATTACATTCTTAGCAAATGTTATGGATTCCTACCTACTGAATCAGTCCTGGGAACACCCACTTCTGCCCATGTCTAAGCTGCCAGTGTCCTCACTACAGTTTGGGGATGGTTTGAGTGTGCTCTCTTGTGGGAGCTGAGCTTGCTTTACACAGCAAGGCTTCATTAGGGGACGGTTGGACCATGTGCATGGTCACCAGGTATCTGAGATAGTCTACACTTAGCTGGGGGGAGCTCTTTGCTCCACCCCTTGGCATTCCTTTAACAGCCCTTTAGCAGAGACAGAAGGGGCTGGTGGTTTTGACCCAGGCCCTCCCGAGGCTATCCTGTGTTTCTGTCTCTCTCCTCTATATTTCTATTTACATATTTCTCACTTCTCCCTCCACAAGAATACCCTGGGGGAAAAAGAGGGAGCAGGTCTACCTCACTCTGTAGTGGACCATGCATTGAAATTTCATCCCTCTTGTGAGATATTCACAGGGTGGAAAGTCAATCAAATTCCTGTGCAGAGAAGTGATTCTGGGAAGTGGTTAGGATTCAGACATCATCAGGTAGAGTCCCAGGGTTGAATTGCTGGTGGCTTTATGCAAAGGAAAAAAGTAACCTATATCAAGTGTTTTATTATAGCAATGCAAAAGAGGCTAATATAACATGTCGTCTGTGTTACAGCTGCAGCCTCTAGCCTTCTTTCCTTCAGGACTCTTTTCAATTGAATCAATCTTTAAAACAGGAACCTGATGTCATGCCATCCTGAATCAAACCCTTCCTTGGCACCCCCAAAGCCCACGAGGCTTTCCATCTGACCAAGTGTCCTTCCAGTTCCTTGAGTGTGCCACCTCTCTTTCTCATGGATGCTTGGCCAGAAGTCTCCTTTTCCTGGAAAACTCTCCCTTGCCTGGTCTCCTTTTCCTCATCCTTGAGAGCTCAGTATAGACAGTTCACTCAGGAAAGCCCTTCCTGGCTCAGCCCTTCAGAACATCTGCCACAGTGTGGCTCTACATCTGTCTGTGAGATGACTTGGGCTTGTCTGGCCTCTCTCAGGACTGGATCTACCTTTGTTTACTGCTGTATTCTAGTCCTCTGGATGAGCACATGGATGAGCACATGGATGAACACATTCACATCTGAATGCACGAATGTGTGGGAGCCTCCCAGAATCAAGTGCCCCTTCATTAAATAAGCAGTTGAGGATTGCTAGGTGTCAGATGTGTGATTATCCTGAACAATCAAAGGCCTGGCATTATTCACCTCTTCTCTACAGTCCATCTATGAGAACAAGCATTTTCTACATTGGTATTCCCGAGATCAAAATATAAAACCGCATCACCACACAACGGGATTACAGGTTATGTCTCTCTGTTGTTAAATGCAACTCTGGCAATTTCATTTCAGTAAAATAATACCATCTATCACATTACCTTAGAGTCAGCCCCCTGTGCATTCATGTTCCATACCTGAGGGCACTTCATTTGCAGAGAGAAAGTATCTAGAAATAAGAGCTTTGACTGTCGGGGGAATGGATGCTTTTACCCGCCTTTGTTCCTCACACAATGCAGTATGACAACAGTTTACACAGCACTTGGGCTGTGTTGGGTGTTTTAGTAACCTAGAGATGATTTAGAGCCTACAGGAGGATGAGTGAAGGTTCTATGCAAACACCACGCTATTTAAAACAATGTTTATTATACTTATCTTTTCAGAGGAGGATGTGCATGTCACATGTATGGGTGGAGGTCAGAGGACAATGTGAGGGAGCTGGTTCTCTCCTTCCACCCTGTGGATCCTATGGATTAAACTAAGGTCCTCGGGCTTGGTGACACAATCCTTCACATGCTGAGCCACCTTGCTGGCCTGATGCCATTTTATTTATTCATTTATTTTTAAAATTAGACATATTCATTTCATGCATGACTGTTTTGCCTGAATGTATGTATGTATACCATAAGAATGCTTGGTCCCCACAGAGGTCAGCAGAGGGAGGGCATTGGATCTTCCGGAACTGGAGTTGGAGGTTGAGGGGATCAGACCCGGGTCCTCTTCAAGAGCAACAAATGGTCTTAACTTCTGAGTCATCTCTCCAGCTCTCCAGTGCCATTTTATCTGGAACCTGAACAGCTGCAGGTTTTAGTAGCCCTGGGGTCCTAGAATCACTTCCTTTTATAAACCAAGGGACTGCTGTAATACATTTATAGTTTTATAATTTTGTGCTGTTTATTAAATTTAAAGGTCTAATTTGGTTTTGAGGTTTATTAAATACTTAAACAGGAAGACTATAAGTAGATGTATAGCTAAATATCCATACAATTATGCACGTTTGTTTGCTATGACAGAGTCTCATATAGTCTATACTAGATTCAAGCTTTCTGTATAACCTAGACTGACCTAGGACTCCTGACCCTTCTGCCTCTAGTTTACAATTGCTGGGATTATAGGTGTTTGCCACCATGCCTGGCTATTGGGAATCCAGGAAGACGTTTTCTGCCAGAAACAGGGCTGATATTGTAACGTTTGAATGTGTGGTAGTTTGAATGTAGTTGGCCTCTATAATCTCATAGGGAGCAGCACTATTGGGAAGTATGGCTTTGTTTCAGGAAGTGTGCCACTATCAGGGGTGGGGAGGGCGGGCTTTGAGGTTTCCTATGCTCAGGATACCACCCAGTGTCTCAGTCGACTTCCTGTTGCCTGCAAGATGTAGGACTCTTAGCAATGTCTGCCTGTACGCCACCGTGATGACAATGGACTGAACCTCTGAAACTGTAAGCAAGCCACCCCAATTAAATGTTTTCATTTATAAGAGTTGCCATGGTCCAGTGGGACCAAGTCCTGTGCTCATTCCATGAGTTGGCTGTTTGAAACCTGGAGCTTATGCAGAGACACTTGGCTCAGTCTGGGAGGAAGGGACTGGACCTCCCTGGACTGAGTCTACCAAGTCGATCACAGTCCTCGGGGGAGGACTTGTCCTGGAGGAGATGGGAATGGAGGGTGGGCTGGGGGTAAGGGGAGGGCGTGGGAGGGGGGAGAATAGGGGAACCCATGGCTGATATGTAGAACTGAATGGTATTGTAAAATAAAAAATATATATCACAAAAAAAAAAAAAAGAGTTGCCATGGTCATAGTGTCTGTTCACATCAATAAAAACCCTAACTAAGACAGAGGGAGTCTTGTATCCCAGCACTTGGTTTATCTGTTAAGGAACCAACAGTTCGAGCCGACAAAGTGCTCATCGAATGAAAAACAAGGGGTGTAGCAGGGCCTACTTCCCAACTCCTCACCCTTGGCTTTCTCACAGAGAACACTAACACACAGGGTGAGCACAGCAAAACCCATAGCATCAGCTCCTCATCAACCTAACTACGGAACCGTTCAGGAGAAAGGACATTTAAATTCCAACTCTTTGCTTTCACTTGTCTCAGGAGTAGGTTTTCAAAACAATCCTAATATTAAAAACATTTTAGAAAACAGAAGTTGAAGAGGCTTGCAGTGTGTGAGCGATCTGAATGATAACAACAAATTGATTTTAGTGGAAGAAATTGAAATATGACACCTGCAGCAGTGTTTAAACCTGGATGTGTAAACATCTCTATCTCTGTGGCTGAATAAAATCAACTTCAAGCTCATTTTAAAATACTCAATTTGAAAAAAGACCCAGGCACATTCCAGCTAACGTGTATTTTTCTGAACTGAGCATAAGGACAATTTATCATTTTCATATACAAATAAAGAAAACTTTATCTTTTACTACTAAAGTCTGAAGAAACCAAAACATCTTAAAAGCAGAATAAATACAGTTTTTGCTTGTTAAATAACTTGAGGTGTTGAGGGTTTGGGTATATAATTCTAACATGCTATTTTCATAGTCTTAAGTTCAGAGCATAAAAGTTTCCAAATGTTAAATGAGGCAAAACTGTATTTTAGGGTATTTGTACAGAAAGGGGCAATTTTTCTTTCATTTAGGCACAAGGCAAGTATTTTAAACTGGTTCAATTAAAAATGTTTTGTTCAGCAAATATAATTACTATGGCTGATAGTTACAGGACTAATCTAAAAATAAGAATGAGCTATTTTTTTAATTTCATTGAATAAATCACTGCAAGTACAATTTGCATCCACAATAAAGGAAGATAAGATTTAAAAGTACTCTTTTCCCAAGAAAAGAATGCTCCTGAAACAATGTATCTATAAATAAGAAGATTAAATAATATACATTATTAGCAAAAATAAAGTGCTACCTATAAAGATGTAAACCTTCAGACGCCAATTCACCACCGAATCTTAAATATCTGCATCCTGGGACATCACAGTTTATTGATCTACAGTTAGATCTTTGGGCCAGGTGTTGAAGCGCACAGACAAAACGGTACTGCATTCCTCACCAGCAAAGAGAATACCAAATTAGTTTCAAAAATCCTTCCTGACAACATAATGAATTCCTCCTCCTTCGCTCTAACAAGGGACCTTTTCTAAAGGGGGTGGGGGAACCTTCACAATAAATAAATAAATAATGCAAAACAGGTACCTCCGGCCTCTCTGATGCTGTACAGCTTGACAAGCCGTTTGCATGAAAATGATTCCCTTCAACTCGGGAAACTCGAGGACCTCAAGGTAATCCTGGACAACTTTCCAGTCTGGAATCACATAATGAGTCACTTCAGCAGACAAGAGCTTCCCATCTGAAACATAATTCAGAGTGGAAACGATTAGGTAACATTTTCAAACCTGGTTTATGACTATTTCAATGTCACAGTGTCCCGGTGTGCAAAATAACTTCTCATCTTAATTTCACCTTAAAGTTTTTCAAAGACAAGACAAATCTACTTTGGTAGAAGCTCAAAGTTCAGAGTAGATTCACTGCCGCCTTCTCTCTTTTTTGAAGCTATGATTAAATACAAGCCCGACATGGTTTACGCTGTTGCCACTACTGCGGGAGAGGATGACTGATATTTTAAAAACAGCTACATCCTCGGCAGAAGCTAAATTCTATTAACTCATCACTGACATGCATGAACATTGTAATGGATATTGACACATCCATCATATACCTACACCTACATATACACACACACGTACACATATATGTACATACACATAAATGCACATGTGCACATATGTGTGTGCTAACTACTTCCATGTACCTAAAAATTCCAAAGTTATTGTGTCTGAAGCTTCTGAACATGGCTACAAGGCTCTAAGACAGTGGTTCTCAATCCATGGGTCACGACTCCCGGGGCGATTGACCCTTTCACAGGGGTCACATGTCAGATGTGTACATTACCATTCATAACAGTAGCAAAACTACAGTTATGAAGTAGCAATGAAATAACTTTATGGTTGGGGGGGGGTCCCCACAACATGAGGAACTGTGTTAAAAGGTTGCAGCATCAGGAAGGTTGAGAACCACTGCTCCTAAGGGTTGAAGAGAATGTGCTAGAAAGGATGTGCAGTTTGGGCAGTGGTAAGTAAGGCTTCCACTCAACTGACAGCTCTTTCGCCAAGCGGTGACCTCAGTCATACATTCTGAAAAGACCCCTCAAGTTCATCTCCCACTAAGGGTAAGAAACAGCGACCCTTGCAGCCTGAAAAGGGGAAGCGTGGCTCACAGCAGCCCCCAGCCCAAGTCTCCTACAATGAAGAGGCTGGCGGGGTCTGCGCCCTGGCAGGAGCAGAGCGGGCAATGTCAAATGCCCAGCAGTGCGCTCAGGAGCCAGGCGGGAGCAGCCTCTTTCGGGCGAGCCTCCCTGATCTCACTGCGGGCGGAAAGAGGGAGGTGCCTACGCCTTGAGGTCCCTCCAGAAACCCGAAGCACCCGGAGCCTCTGGGCTGAGCAGGTTCTCGGTGCCCCCCACTTGACCGAGCCATTGCGGTAGACGAGCCCCGCGCGGAGGGTGCCGCCTGCTTCCGACCCGCAGAGAACGCGCTCGCTCCGGGCCGCCTCCCGGACCGTCCTGGTTCCGCCAAGCCCAGGCTGCTGTGGCTCGCTCCGGCTCCGCCCTTGACGCCAGGCCAGGGCCGCCCTCGCTCCCGGGCTCCGGCTCGCCTCTCTCCTTAGGTCCCCGCTCCCTTCACTAGTGCCCGGCCGCCATCACGACGCCAGGCCCGGGCTCCCTGTGCTCCTCGGGCCTCGGCCGCTTCTTTCCTTCGGCCCCCGGCTCCCTTCCCTCGCGCCCCGCAGCCCTCGCTACGTCAGGCCCCGGTCTCCCTCGCTCCTCCGGCCCCGGCCTCCCCGCTCCTTCCCGGCCCTGACCGTTGCGGCAGGCGGCGGGCTGCGGGCAGAGCGGGCTGTTGCAGGGCACGCTAGGCCGCAGGTAGTGCTCGCGAACGATCCGCAGCGTCCGGCCCTGGAAAGTCCTCAGCAGCAGCACCTTCTCCCGCTTCTGCAGCATGCTGGTGGCGTTGCCCGGCTCCGCGGCCGGGAAGCGGCGGGCGGCAGTGGGAGGCGAGGCCGAGGCTTGGGGCCCGCCCCTCGGGCCTGCTCTGGCCCGCAGTGGCAGGAGCGTTCCGGGCACCGGGCACCCCGAGGGTTCCAGGCACCCCGGGGGTTCGCCCGGCCCGGCCCAGCCCAGCCTGCGCCTGGATTCCTCTGTAAGCCCTAGCTAAGTTGCCCCTGAGCCGGGAAGAGCTCAGATAAACTGTTGACCCCAGGCACCATCGGGCATGACGGTAGGATCTAACAGCTGGTCTAAAAGTCCCGTGTGAAAAGATGTTTTTACTTTGTTTCTACCCACAGGCCCGAGTGGGAACCTGCCATATTAACAGGTGTAATAACTAAGAGTTTTCTAGTCCTTGTTTTTGCAGTATCTAAAAGAATCGAAAGGCTTAGCAAATAAGCTGGTAACCCTGCTGGCCAAACATGTTTTCCCCTTCAAAATGTGCTTATTTTAAAATTTAATACACGTAAACAATCAAACACTACAGACAAAATGAAAACCAGTCCTTCTGGGGTAAACACTGTACAACTTTTATAGCGTTGACAGCCTCTGGCAAAGGAATTCTTAAAACTGCTATTGACACAATCATTAAGTACTGTGCTTGTAGCTCCTGACAGAAAGGACAGTATCTTGGAAGACCACACACCCTGGCTTCTCCACGCACTCGGCCCACTGAAGCCACGGTTAGCAGCTTCACACACAAGAGTCTCCTTCAGCGTCTGTAAATCAAAGGAGCGGGCATTTATTTGTATCCCCATTTTACAGGCTGTGAGGCTTCATTAGGGAGCTTAAGAGGCCAAGGATACTTAGTTATTAAGTGGCAGAACCAATGTGCAAGCTAGAAACTGGACAACCCCAAAGCAAGTTCTAAAGTACCATCTCTTCACAGGTGAGTAACCCACAGGGCCTGCACCTAAGCAGTTTACTGCTTGGCAAACTCTGGTGAAGGTGGCTGGCCCAGCTGGCTGGAAACACGGGGCTCTTCCAATGTTGCCAAATTAAACCAAGTCCAGCCTCTCATTTCACCCTAAGGGAATGCATAAAGAATCATGATTCCAGCCCGGCGCTGGTGGCCCGTGCACTAGGGAGGCAGAGGCAGGTGGATCTCTGTGAGTTCGAGGCCAGCCTGGGCTACAGAGTGAGATCCAGGACAGGCACCAAAGCTACACAGAGAAACCCTGTCTTGGAAAAAAAAAAAAAAAAAAGAATCATGATTCCTTCTCACTGTACCTCTGTGTCAAGTTACTCAAAAAAGGTGGACTTGCACAAATGGGAGATAGTATAGAGCTGGCACACAAGCGGTAGTGCAAAGAGGGTCCCTAAAGCTGTCCACAACAGTAATGTGTGATTATATATATGTAAAACGATATATATATATATATATATATATATATATATATATATATAATGATAATGATAATGTATCCTCTAATACAGGAGAGCCCAGAGGATAGTGAGTAGCCAAAACTATTTCCTACGTAAAAAATGCTTTTGATAACTGTCCACAAGTCCCTCTCCAGTTCCCTTCCTATCTTTTTAAAGCCTCTGATTCTGTGGGATTGGAAGAATGACTTTGATTAGGTCCTAATCTGCCCTTAATATCTCTCTTCAGCACTTTGTGGCTTGAAACTGTCTGCAAATGAACGATCCTTTAAGGAATAGAGCATATCTAGGGTTCTATTGAGGGTGGATTTTTTTTTTTTTTTTTTTTTTTGGTTTTTTTTCGAGACAGGGTTTCTCTGCGTAGCTTTGCGCCTTTCCTGGAGCTCACTTGGTAGCCCAGGCTGGCCTCGAACTCACAGAGATCCGCCTGGCTCTGCCTCCCGAGTGCTGGGATTAAAGGCATGTGCCACCACCGCCCGGCGAGGGTGGATTTTTATCAGTCCTTAAAATAAGACTGGGGATGTAGCTTAGCTGGTCGAGTTCTTGCCTCGCACGCACAAAGTTCTAGCCTGTGCACCAAAACCAAAACCAAAACAAACAAACAAAAACTAGGTGGGGTGGCACACAAGCCTGTAATCCCATCACTTGAGAGGTAGAAACAACAGGATCAAAAATTCCAGCCCAGCTGGAGAGATGGCGCAGCAGTTAAGAGCACTGGCTGTTCTTCCATAGGACCCTGGTTCAGTTCTCAGCACCCACATGGCAGCTCACAATTGTCTGTAAGAGGGTACCTGATATTCTCATGCTGGCAAAACACCAGTGCACATAAATTAAAAAACAATTCAAGGTCATTCTTGGCTATACAGTAAGTTGGAAGCCAATGTGGGATGCATGAGATACTACCTCAAAAAATAAGTTAATTACAGTAATCCAACGCCTACTGTACAGCTCCTTTTCTTATATTGGGACAATAATGAACAATTTATTTATGAGATGATCTCAGGTATCCAGGTTAGCCTTAAATTTGCCATGTAGCTGAGCTTGTGATCATCCTGCCTGTAGCTCTTCTTAAGTGTTAGATTACAGGTACCTGGGATGGAACTCAGGGCTTTGTGCATTGCAGGTAAGCACTGAGCCACATCCTTAGCACCCCCCCCACTTCTGTCTCTCTTTTGGAGACAGGGTAGTGATGAACTCTGGCATTTACTCCTCTCTCTGTCTCTCAGGTGCTGGGATTCTCATGAGCCCAGACCTGGCTTTATACATTTTGTTGAGGAACATGACTCCTTAGTTCTTAGAACTGGTGGTCTATAATAGACCTTTTGGTTGGGCCAAAATAATATAATAGGGCCTTTAGGTTGGTTTTTTGGGGGGTGGGGGGTTGTCTTGTTGACCATCTGAGGCCTCTGGCCTGGAAACGTGCCTCTCAGACAGAGTAACTATGCTGCAGTGAGATGGCCCAGCAGGTACAGGTGCCTGTTGTGCAACACACATGTACTTTACATAAACTGTAATTAATTAAAAAAACTCAGTGTCTCAGGATAAGATGCTGCATAGGTGTGGAACATCACTAATTGTCTTTCTGCAGGACCCAGGCTACTGAAAGGGGATCTCTCTAGAACATTGTTGGTCATTGGAAAAGGGAAGGGAGTCCTCTAGAGAGCCTCATACCAACAAATAACTCAGTCCGGAAGTAATGCTGTCATTCTTGCCATTGGCCAGAGCTCATCACATGGCCATAGAGCAGCAGGAAGTGTGTTCTTCAAGGTCTAAAGGCAGGCACCAAGAACCCTTTGAACTAAACAAGCAACTTACCAGAATGCTCTGCCCAAACCCTAAGCCCTAAACGAGTCAATCCAGTCCATCACCAGCTCCACCCTGGTTATTTGGACCAGCTTTTGCCCACTCACTGTCTGGCCTTGGGCATTCTACCTCTTTTGGCCCAAGACCCTCCATAAGCCATTAAGCCAAACACACACCACACATACCTGGAATCCTTACCTCACATGCTTCGGTATGTGATCCCTTATGGTAGATAGGATGAATTCTCTCTGCCAAATTCTTGTCCACATTTTCTTTAGGCACACTGATGACACATGTCTCCTTACAGATAAATGGATGGTAGCCATGTATCTGGGGTTCCATCTGGCAGAATACAATGGCACCATTTTCTGGAATGGCTCATAATACTCCCCTACCCAACTTCCCACCTACATACCTTTTCTAATAGTTTCCCCAGCTGGATGCCAAAGTCCAAAGCATTGGCAAACCAGCCTTAAAGATGCCAGAGCCCCTGTTTACTTTGGTTCCTGAAAGACAGTAGAGCAGAGCTTGGCCTCCCTCTTCCCAGTGGACTCTTGTACCAGAGAAATAAACCCTTTGGGTTTGAGCACACTAGAATCCCAGCACTTGGCAGGCAGGGGAAGGAAAAGCGAGCTCAAGAATTCAAGGTAAACTATCATTACCAAAATATTCTCCCAGTTAACAAGAGATTAAGACGGCTGGAGATGTGGCTTAGTTGTTGGAGTACCTTAAGAAACTTGTCTAATAGTTGCAACACGGTGTTTAAAATAGACAAATAAGCAAATACCCCCTCACCAGATGCTAAACACCGCGAGGCAGTTTGATGATTTCTATAGTTGCACTAAACCGCACAGTCCTCTAGCTGGTGGGAACCAGTGTGTTCTGCTGTGTTCGGGCTTTGTGGGGGCAGCAGAGCCACACTGGACAGGACATCTGATGGCTTGCTTCTCTCTTTAGTCACTTCTTTCCTTGACAACCTAATGCAGATGGGCAGCATGCTGCCCAGATAGCAGAACACTGGCAGCCAGCCCCCAGCACTCCGGTCATCAGCAATCTCTTGCCATACCTCCGTTTCCCTGGTGCACGGCCTCTCCCTTCCTCTGTCTGAGCACCAGTGTGCTTACCCTGTGGGCCAGCCACAGCACCTACACGCCTTCCTACAGTTGCACCTTGGGAATGCAGAACTCAGTGTCTACTGGATCATAATCAAAACCTCATCAAAGGTTAGCCTGGGGAGGGAAGGGAAACTCCCCTGAGGCCTGGGAGGCCTGGGATGGTAGATGTACAAAAGAAATTCCAGAAGATGAGCTCTAAGAACTAGAGCACATTGCAGAAGCAAGCTTTGAAATATTCTGCATCTATTTACTTCTTATTGATTTATTTATTTTGACTATAGTACAACATGCTTACTGCAACACAGTCAAACAATGCAGCAGGATGCCAAGTAAGAATGCATAAATTCTGTTCTCATCTGCAGTCTACTCTCACGCAACACACTACTGTTGATGGCTTCTGAGCCATTTGGCTTAGATCGAGCGTGTACTGTTGATAGCTTGTATGGATCCCAAGAGTTAAAGATAAACCCAAATTTGCAACTCTGATGGGCTGGGCAAACTGTATTGTGCCAGTTAATCACAGCGCAGGCTATGTGGCTTGTAGCTGGAGGCTACGAAATATTCAAAGCACTTTCTCTTCTCTTCCTCGTCTTGTCTTCTTCCTTCCCTTTCTGTTGCTGTGATGAAACACTCTGAGGGGACAGGTGCAGTTGCTTAGTGGGAAGGGAACCTGCTGCCAAGCCTGAGGACCTGAGTTCGATCCCCAGTACCCACAGGCAGAGAGCAGACTCTTGTCTG